GAAATAACAAGAACAATAAAACTGGGCATAGGAAGGATGAGTCATGCCAAAAAAAGGGAATATTTAAAATTGGATGTGTCTGTATAAAATAACTCAGCTACCAGTGAGGGGATTTTGAAAACCTATTGAAGAGCAATATGAGTAAATGGAAGAATGAGATTTCAGTTTCTCTCTCTGTGTGGGCAAACTAAATATAGAATTATATATCACAGCAAGCTGCTTGAATCTGATAAAGGCCTCTAAGCAAAGGTGTTTGTTTCCCTAAACAAAAGTGACAAGTTAGGCTCTAATTATTTCAAGTGGTATGTTTAGTTCTCTGGACTACACCGAGGGAAGTAAACTGACATAGAAGATAATGTCTATTTTTGTGCTGGGCAATCTGCTTGACATTTTAACACATAGGAGCTCATTTGCTTTGTGCAACAAACTTGTCACCCGGAAGTCATTATCGCAACTTTTAATGGAGGGAATCTGAGATCACACAGCTCTTAAACAGTGGTGCCAGGGTTTAAACTGAAGTTTGGGAACAGCTCCAAAACCAAACACCATAAGAGTGCTGCTTATATTAAGTAAGTTAGTAACAAACTCTTGAATTATTAAAGGGAATTACAACTTCAGGAGATAAATGCCCTGTTTGATATGTTTATTCACACAGATTTAGATAGTATATTTGCATAATTTGGTGTAGCTTCACTGAGTTTCATTTTTGCTTGTTATTTGTGTGTGATAAACACATATATAATAATGAAAGGATTTTGTTCAATAAATAATGCACATTTATTTTAAAAAATTCCTTAAACTCCCTACTGTGCTTTACTAGGGATGATAAAATTCTCCAAGATTTTTCTGAGGGTGCAGATGGAAAAACACAGGGTGTAGTCCTATGTTCATTTCCTAATTAATAATCATTTATTGACTGTTGAATATGAACAAGGCACTTTGCTAGATTTTTACAACAAGCAGAATGGTCATAGTTCCTGATTACATGGAATGTATGACATTATTAGTTGATTTAACAACAATAAATAGATAGTTATAGGAGAGTAGACAGTGTTAAGGGAAAACCAGGGTCTTATGAAAACACAGTGGAGTGCTACCTAATTGTGTGGGAGGAATTCAGGGAAAGTCTCATGAGGAGAACGAAGGGAATAGAGCTAAGCAGAAGGGATGTTTTTGTGGAGTGATAAAAACAAAGGAGAAAAGGGCGCCCACCAAATGACCCATAATTCTTAGACACTGACTACATACCCGGAAAGTGAAATGGATGAAATTTGGTTTTTACCCACTTCTATGAAGAGTTGGCCATTCTGTGACTAGGACTGTCCTTGATCCTTAGCTGTATTTCACCATCCAGGACTCTTGCTATGAACATTTCTGACTATCTTATGATAGCACTTTCAGAACATTTCAGTGAAGTTAAAGTTTACATGTAAAATCAGACTACACAGAGAAAATTGCATGCTCTCTGAATTAGTCTAGAAAATCACTTAGAATGTCTGAAACTCAGATATCTCACTAATATGGTTGGATTTGTTTCCAGCAGTGGAAAAGATACCTATTCACATCCAAGACAGACAGCTGACTTGAGAGATTGGGACCAGCCATATGTGTACTGAGTAGATAACATTCCTTTAAACACATCACAATTCTGGGGATTCCTACAATAAGCAGTGTGTCTGCACCACAAGAAGTGGTGAGAATAACAGGTACAAGTTCTCTTTGGCCCATGCACCCTTATTGTAGTTTTGACTGAACGGTCAATATGTGACTCCTGTTTGAAAAATATAGCAATCAGATGCCACTGTGCCTACTTGGGGACCTATGAGTTATGGATGGTGCTTATGTGTTGTAACTAAGAAAAGTGACTCAAATAGTGAGGAAGCCTATAAAAAATAAATTACCTTGGCCCTGGCATCAGGAGGGTGATTGTTCAGTGAAAACTGCCAGTATTTTTCCATCACCTAATATAGGCAGCTACCTACATGGACACAGAAGCATCCCAATCAGAATGTGCCATTAATCTACAGGCAGTTTATCGTGTCTCTCTTCATTCAGAGTCAGGATGTGATTTACATGAGTAATTGCAGCACCATGATCACAAGGAACATTTGATAACAGACCTTCCAACCTTTACAAAATAACTATTGTGTGTTTATTGTCGGGGGTAAAATATTAACAAAGCAGATTTCCTTTCTCTTTCAGTCTAGTGGAAAAGCAGAGAACACACAGGAAATTAGAATACAATCAGAGTAAATATAGAGTTGTGCAAGAACCCACTGAGGAGCTCTTAGCTTGAACAGCTCAGAAGAGGGAAAAAAGTTCTTTCTAAATGCAAGGATCTGCATGCATCCAAGGAATGTGTAGCAAAAGCTCTTCTTTGACTAGCACATTGCAAATGAAATAAATAGAAGATGACCTGCATGATCTGAATATCTAAGGTTTGGCAGAAAGGAAAAATAAAGGTAGGAATCACAAAGATTATATACACTTGCTGAAAATTTGCAGACTAGGTGAAACCTAAATTCTGACAAAAGAAATAAAATTTTCTTCCCTCAATGGCATCTTTGGCTAACTCTGCTAAAGATATGTTTGTGTGAAATACTAAATACTTGGAAAGCCTTCCAAAAAAGTAGTATGTTACATGTGTCCACAAAGTACTGACAATGTAATATGCCTACATGGAGTGCTTAAACAATATCGTCAGAACATTCGCGAACATGTTTGACTAGTAACAACGGAGCTTCACCAAAGGTCAAGTGGAGGGCTTTGCTAAGGTGACTAATCAACAATCAGTAATTTTGTCACTGAGGCATACATTGTTCAGAGGAAAACAGTACTGAAAGTGTTGAGGATTTGTAATAGCTTCTTTTTTCAGTCCACACAAAAACAATCTCTTGGCCACTAAAGCATACAAATAGGGTTTATTGCCCAGGAAAAAGAGAGCTAAGACTACAGATTTTTTTTTCCATCTTTCTTATTCTTTATTGGGCCAAAATTATGTTTCCTAATAGTGTATCATTCTTTACGGATGCTATTAGCTGGATTACCATTTTCACTACATAATAGTCACCAAGAGGGCAAATGTGGTGTCACAGCTAAATAAACAGCTTTTGCAAACATTTGAATCAAAAAGAGAGTAAAGAAACAATAGGAAGAGACTCAAATGGAAGTAATTTCATTTTCTATTTTTCAGGTTATTGAATCATTTCAGAAGATGTGCTTCCATAAAAGCCTTATCAAAATCATATACCTGCCTGTGGCAAATATACCAATCCATACCCAAACTTCCTGTAGCCACATTTTGAAAAATAATGAATGTGCAATTTCCCTCATCATTTCACCAAGTCATTTAAAAACGAAACAATTGTCAGGTACCAACATGTTTTTTTATGCACCCTTAAGCAATGTTTGCTAATATAGTCTTTACCTTGAAATTTCTAAATGTTCACTTCAAAATAGTAAAAAATAGATACTTCCATCTTATTCAATAGGAAGTTTAATTCAATGAGAAACAGTAAAATAAAATGGAACAAAGCATCTATGATTTAAAATGAGAAAGTCACGCGTCTGAAACTTGGGTTTGTCATTTACTAGTTGTATGACCTTGGAATAATTGTTTAACATCCCCAGACCTCAATATAAGGTACCTAATTGAGTAACCATACTTATAAAGACATACAGTGTAGTATATACCATATAGTATAGTAAGTCCCCGACTCACAAGCAAATTCTGTTCTTGGAGACTGATTTATCAGTCAGTGTGATTCATAAGTCAGTGACTCCTAAGTCAGTAATTCAGTCTCTGGGAGACTGATTCCTTCATAAATTGACAGTGAGGCTTTTACAGTGCCTCTGGTTGAATGTTCACATATTGTATGGTTCTTGTGACAGATTCAATATTAGCTATTGTCATGATTACTTATTAATACTAAAATAGCTATTTTATTTACTTCTGAATTCATAGTGTTTGTTGAATGTGCAATAGGGGAGAAAAGTTTAGGCTGTTAGCCAAGTAAAATCTGTTTGAATCCTTAAAGTTCTGTGGAATGTAGAAAAAGCAACTGAACCTCCCTAAACCAGAGCTTCTTTCTTTAGAAAATTTGAATTATCTACCTTCCTGAATTATTACAAAGATAGAGGTACTTTTCATCAGGGTATCAATATTATTAAAAGAGCAGTTGGAAAACAACAGATAGACTAACTTAGATACCTGTAAGTCCAAGAGTAGCACTTTTTACAGGAATGGAAAGAGGGTTGTCTTCAGCTGCCACCCTAGTTACAGAAATCATACCTTGTTCTATGAGGAGAAGCCTCTGTATGCATTCAGGGTTGATAAACACAGAACTATGCCTCAACATATGATTAAGCATATTTGAAGATGCCGATATTTTCACAAAGTCACTGAAAAGATGCAAAATATTCTACAGATACTACATATTTTTAAAAGTGGGAATATAGGGTAGCTATCTTATTTTCATGGGAAAGGCTGTTAAAGGAAATAGTATTATATGAAGAAGCAGCTCAAAAAAGGGAAGGAGATGACCAAACAATTTTCCCACCCTTATTTTTTCTCAAGATCAGTTCCTTGGCAGAATATTAGTTAATGGTTCAACTTGTTAACATTCCAGCATTTCAAGTAAACCTGTGTCGGGGCTGGGTATTTAGCTCAGCGGCACAGCGCCTGCCTGGCAAGCGTGAGGTCGTCAGTTCGATTCCTGGTACTAGAAATAAATAAAGAAATCAATCAATCAATCAATCAATCAATCATCAATAAAGTAAACCTGTGTCCATTCATTCAAATCAGTGGCAGTGACTGACAGATGCAGTTAAAGACTACCCTTATCTACACTTTTAAGACCACAAAGATTTCTCAAGGCTGATTCTAAAACATTCCTGTACAGTATAGACTTCTTTTCACACAGGATATATAGAAAGCAAAACAAGCACTGCTTAAATTTAAGAACCAATTTTGTAGAATCCAAGCAACAGACTTAAGATACTTGTTTTAAAGCAAGCAACGATTTTTATTTAGTAGAAGTGAAATAGTTTCAATCAACCATTTTCATCAGAGCCCAGGGGAGGAGCGTAGGGGTGAGACCGAGAAGAGATCAAAAAAGGCATGGAGAGTCCATGAGAAAGAGGTTGAGAGAAGACATTTATTTGCCCTCTCACACTACTTATGGGATCTGGTGACAATACTGGAGAGGCCAGGTTGGAGCATTTGGTTGGAAATTCACACCTCACAGAATATCAAAACCCTAACTTCTAGAACAAATGTATTGAACCCCAGAAAAGCAGCCTCCATAGGTATACCAACAAGACAGCTGGGAGCAAAATAGAGGCACACCCAAGATTAGTCTTTAATTTTTTGAAAAATTTATTTTATTTAAAAGGTTGCCTAAAATCTGTGCCTTTCATGGTGGTACATAACTATGGTGGCCTTGAGGCTGTGAGGAGATAGAAACAGGCAGCCAAAGGTTTCTCCACGGTCTCTCATGGGTGGCCTCAGGTATCCGGATGGAGACTGCTCTTCCTCACTCCTCCCAATCCACCCATAGCCCCCACTAGCAAAGTCACCCCTTCACATCTCAAAAATACTCAGGTGCCACCAGCGGTTTCATGAAAACTCCTCTGAATCCATGAATGGCATAAGGATTAGTAAGGGAAGGTCTCTCAATAGCTGTTTCATTTTCCTGAATCTATAAAACTGAGCAGGTTTTGAAGGAACAGGAGTGCAGCAGTTACATGTTACCCTCCTGCTTCCTTACCACTGCAGTTTGACCACTGCCCCTCTCAGGTTCTGGAAGTCACCCCTGCTGTTTATCCTCCCTGTTACTCCTGAGCGATCTCAAGGCAGAAACGCAAGATGCCTAGGGGAGAGGAAAGGGGGTGTTAGGAGGTGGAAAGAGCCTGTCCCACTTTAATAGCACCACTGAGAAGCAGTTTTAGATCTCAAGAGCCACGGTGGCCACATTTCATGTGGGCAGCAAGGGCCCTGACTCAGATCAAGGGTTGGAGATCAGACAGGTGAAAGCCAGGTGACTTGTCCAATCCAAGTGGTCTGTCCCATCCAGCTAGCCTGTCTGTTCCAGGTGGCTTGTCCCGTTTAGGTAACCAGTCTCTTCTGTGTGGCCTGTCCCATCTAGCTGCCTGTCCATTCCAGGTGGTTCATCCTTTTCCAGGTGGTCTGTCCTGTTAAGTAACCTGTACCATTAAGTAGTCTGTCCCATAACGTAGCGTGTCCCATCAAGTGGTTTGCTCCATCCCCTAGGGCCGGGCTTGGGGAGAGAATGAGTGGAGGACGGAAGAGTGGAGGTGGGAGAAGGGGTCCCACAGTGTAGACTGAGGAGGTTTTCAACATCCATAGCTGGGTGCAGCAGGGACGGTGTGGGGCTCTTTCTGTAAGGCAGTGACTACAGGCCACCTGGGGCCTTGGCCTTCTCGGCCTCCTCCTTGGGTTCCTCCCTTGCCACCTCCTCATCCTTCTCTTTTTCCTTTTCAGCTTCCTCTTCTTTCCCCGGGCCATCCAGCGAGGAGGCCTTGGACCGTTTGGGGGCATCCCCAAGCGGGTCCTCCATGCCTCTCTTCAGCAGTGCCTTGTCCTGCCGCTCCTCGGTCGGTTCAGGCTCCTGGTCAGGGTGGGGGTTGGGTTCAGGCTCAGGCTCGGAGTCACAGGCGTTGGCGCAGCCTGCCACCCCCTCCTCTGCCGCAGCTGCCACCACAGGGGTCAGATGGGTGGCCTTGACCTTGGGATCATTTTCAATTTCCCACAGCCCCACGCTGAAGCCCCTGCGCTTGCTGGCCTTGGCGAACCTCTCCTTGCACTCCTCGTACGGGTAGAGGCGCTTGGGGCTCAAAATGGCCGTCTCATAAGTACCGAAGAAGAACACGTGGTACCGGTTGGGTTGGGCTATCTGCTCGACCCTAGCAGGCCAAGGGGAATAGCCCTTCACTTTGGCAAACACTAGGTCCCCGCTGCTGAACTTGCGGCCGCTGTGACTCGACATGGCGGGTGAGTGGGCGGGCATTGCAGCACAGCAACCGGAAGGCGACACTGAGTCTGCGCAGACCTGGGCCGCTGGGAGGGGTACAAGCAACGTCGCCTTGAGGGTGGGGGAGGTGCAACGCTCAGCGTCCAGAAAGTTCCAGAGCGAAGGCTGCATTATCCCTGAAGCTCCAGAGAGCCTAGTGGCAGTTGTGCTGAGAAGGACTTGGGGCACTGTGAAAAGAAAAGACTGTGACAAAATTACCGCATGTTTCTGTGAACCTAGCAGCAATGGAGGGCACATTAGCAGTTCTTATATGCTAGAATGTACTCATGACAGAAGATTCCAGTCCTGCATCAGGGGCCACCTATGAGATGCCTGGGCTTAGTGGTTTCTATCATTTTGTGGTTTCCCTAGGGTCTGACCCTAGGGCCTGCTGTGAGGTCAAGTTGACTGTGTGGTTAGGTAATCCAGGGGTCAAATTTGGTGACAGAAACTGTAAATATTACCTTGTTTACACGGTCAAAATGGTGACGCAGTTACCATGGCAAACCAGAAATGTCAGAGTTTCTTACTTAACATGGAAAGATTCCCATTTGTGAAAGATAGGGTAGTATATTTCTAACACTGATATTGTGGCTAGCCTTCTCAGTACCTTTTTATAAGAAAATTGAACTTCTTATGACTGAAGTAGGTGGAAGTTTACTCTTATCAAACGTGTTGTTAACAAAGGACTTCCCTGGGGCTATAAACTAAAAATGCAGCCTCTAAACTGAGGGACTAATTTAAGAACGTAATTTTCTTCAGTCTATTTCAGATTGATAAGAATGAGAGTCTTAGTGCATCTGTAGTTGTACAGCTTTCCATCACTCTGAAACCTACCCAAGTTAACATAACAGTACTATTGGTTATGACAAAGACCTTTCAATACTAATCATATATCTAGCTGGACAGATATTCTTTCCTTCTGTGATCAGTTAGAGAATTTGAATCATTAACCCATTCCATTACAGAAAAAAATGTTTTGGTTTGCTAGGTAGAATCAACCATCTTACCTTTGGTGAAATTGAGCTATATGAAAGGAAATACATTCTCTTAACAAGGGAAACAAAAAACATACACTAATGAATTTAGAACATTATTTTTTGTATTAAACTATTTTCTTAGAACATCTGTATTCTCCCTACAAATAATCATAGTTTTACCAAGTAAGTGACATCAACAATGAAAAAATGTATTCACAAATCCACATTCTGTTACAAAAATTAATCTCCTCCTGATTTCTTTTAAAAAGTACTAGAAAATTAGAAATGTTTAGTAGTTATAGAAGAAAACAGGAAATAGTGGACAGCTAAGGAGTTCATAAGGAAGGAATTTGGAATTTCTATAAAGAGAAATCTTTGGACTTTATTCTTACTTCCTAAACATGCTACACCAATTCACAGAGTACACACAAAGTTTATACAATTAGTAAAAACTTTAAATGGGCATGGTGTCCAGCAATAACATTAGTTATGCCATCAGTTTATTCTGAAGGCAAGACTAAATCTAAAACCCAATTGCTGAAAGTGAATGTTTCCTTAGGCATAAGGGCCACACGGAAACAAACCAACATCAATAGTTGGATGTTTGAACCATAACAGTTAAACACATACAAGGGTAGTAATTGGTCTGGTGACTTGAAAGCTAGTGTAAAAAACTAAAATCTACATAAAACTGAAGTAAAAATGTGGTGGGCGACCGAGGCAAGAAGGTCTAGTAGAGAAGATTCTAGATCTGCAAAGTACAATACAGATTCTACTAGGCAAAGAAGTGTCATTCCCCAAGTATGTGTTGTACCTCTGCCTCTGCCCACTGAGACACAGTGCAGTACTAAAAGGCTTACACAGAAGATGTTCACTTTTGGGGAGTTTGTATCTAAATTGAGATATAGAGCACCAGAGTTCATTACAGAGTAATGAAATCTAATCTCTAGGTATTAATTTCTCCTTTACATAAAGTAACTCAAGGAGAAATCAATGGACTATACAGCAGGCTTATGAAGCAGAGGTAGAAGACATACAGAAAGAGTTCTGGTACCCTTCATTTGTTTATCAGCATTTTAAGGTGGAGAGTAGATATAATCTTTCTATACTTCTGTTACATAATCTTGAACATGTGTAGAGTAATATTTAGAATTGCTTTCTGGATTGATGCAAATATTAATGAGATGACAGTCATAAACTTCCATACAGTGGGTACGATGCTCTACAATGCACTAATGTGTGAAGTAGATTCTCATTATGGAAAAATTAGACTATCATTATCATTAGGCTGCAGGAAAGAAACAGAAATACCAAACATAGTAGTAAAGTTATGAATAAGGGTATTAAAGGACAAAGATACATCCCACACAGGCCAAATTATATATTATATACAGAATTATGCATGCAGCACAACTTGGATATAATACAGACAGAAAATTTTTTATTTTGAAATATGATTTTAAAAGTAATATTCTTGAATTCAATTTTTCTCCTGTGGTAAGCTTTCAGAATGGGGAAAAGAAGAGAAAGGCTGAGCAAAACTGTAGGACACATTTAGAGTTTAATAGGGCCACTTCCACAGAGAACTCATTCTCTATATAAATGCATTCTTGGCAAAGCAGTTAAGTGGAGTGACCTTGGCTTCTTTTTCCTTTGAAGTTATTATCAAGTAACTTTTGTTATCTTACTCAAAGTGATGAGAGTAGGAAAGTGCTATTCATGGTAACTAAGATATAGATTTGGCTGTGATATCAGTGAAGTACTCATACACTACTACAATTATTGATGTTCAAGAACTGGATTTCCATGAACTAAAACACTTTTAACACGGTAGGTCAGGATATTTTAAGACTCAAATGTATTGAGAACACCTGGTTTTCAAGTGGCCCAAATTTCAGCAGCAGCAATGTATCTATCAAAAACACACCTGAGATTACAAAACATATATCATTTTCCAGAACACTAATCATAGGATTTAAAAGCTGCTTGGCAACAATTATAAAACACAGGCAATAAAACAATATAATTATATGAGACAGATAATAGATATCTAATTGATATTTTCTTGTGTAATTATATTTAAATTCAATTAGTTTGCTGTAAACTACGATTGAAAAGAAACAATTCTTTCATATGCTTTTGTATGCATTATAAATATCAAGTGTCTCTGAGTTTATAGAGCAGAGGTATTTACATGGCTGATATTTGAAATCAAGGATTTTTTTATAAATATTCTAGAAGATGTAATTATACAAAAAATAAGCCCCTCCCACATCATGCTTAGAGGATCACCCAATGTTCTTCTGTAAAGCTCACCCTAAGTCTACCATGTCCACATTTTGTCACCTCTCTAAGTCCTGTCAGTGTCCACTTGACCTAACTTTTAGTACCTCAAGGATTTCTGAAATCCACATGAACTGATGCAGTAGGGACAAATTCAGTATCAGTGGCAATGTTTGATGTCCTGGGAGCTAACTGGTAATGTAAAGCAGTGGTCCTCAACCTTTTTGGCACCAAAGATTGGTTTTGAAGAAGACAATTTTTCCACAAATATAGGGCAAAGGGTATAGTTTCAGGATGATTAAAAGGAACACTCAAGCTAGGTCTCTGGCACACATGATTCACAGGTTTTGAACTCCTATTGAAAAGATGTGCCTGCAGATTCTGCAAATCTGATTTGTGCACTGGTTATCTTCTTGCCTTATTGAAGCATAGCTATCATGTTGTTGGTGTGCAAAAAGGGTAGTTGGAGACAACAGAATTATTTACAAAACTGTTGATTTAGTGGCCATGGAAGGAAGACTGCCACTCTAAAAAGAATAAAAGTAGCTGGCAATGAGTAATTATATTTCCTTGATCTGGGGAATAAAATATTTAAAAGCTTGTTCTTTGGGGAAAATATTTAGAAATAAAATATTCAGTAATTGTGAACATTTTCTAATCTTGTGTGACAATATTTATTCAAGCCCTGCCACAAAAAGGTGTTATTTCCATGTATATTATGTATATATTTAGCAAAGTTTTAACAAATAAAAGTTAATATAGATGAGTAAATTGGGGACTAGTTGTGTGTAATAAGGTGAATTTACACAATAATTTTTAATTGCATAGCCATTATAGCTATAAAGTGTTTAAAGTAAAATTTAATGCTTTAGAAAATGCTTACAAACCCCAATTGAGCAAAAATATTGGACAACATATAGCATTGCTAACTTATTAGTATATGTGATATCTATTTCTTAAACATAACATGGATAATTCTAGGGACAATTACAGAAATTGAAGAAAACACTATAGTAAATATCAAATGTTTACCATAGTAATTATCAGAAATAGCCAGTACTAGACTATCTGTATTTTGTTCAAGTGTAAATCTTAAATGTTTTTTGCATTATGGGATATATGCAAAAAATATATGTACATATAGGCATATATCATAGATAGGTGTATATTTATTTTTTATTTTATGTTTTTTCCCACAAATCATTTCTGATCCTGAATTGTGTTTGATATCATCCTAACGTTCCTTTAGTTTTATTAGAAGCACATACAATGCTTTTTTTTAATTTTAAAGAGAATAGTAAAAAAAAAAAAGAACAATAGAAAAATACAAACAAAACAAAACAAGGACATTAAAAATGATACAGGGTTTCAAACCAAATGATAGAGATTAACAGTGGCTATTTTATTACATATTTTTATCTTCAAGGAAGTCGCTCAGATTACCAGATGTAAGAATGGAAAACTGATTAAACCACTAAAAGGAATAACAAGATAATAATTTAAACAAACACTAGAGACAATACGGAGTTTTACTGGACATCATGGTAGGAATTCACCAATGGCTGTTATACTGCATATTGCTGTTTTCACATCAATTGCTCAGATTACCAGATATAAGCATGCAAAATTGGTCATGGAATGCGTTTTTGTTCATGCAACACAAGCACATATTTGAAAGACACATCATTAACCAAGTCATGTCCAGAAGAAAATGTGGAAATCAGCTTCATAATATCAATTTTGTATTCTTGACATTACATTAAAATGTTAACGTAAAAGTAAAGTGACCAAAGTTTT